AGGAGGAGGGCACCTTCCATGTGCGTGCCACCTTCCTTCCTCCTCAGGAGCGCTTTGCCCGTTTCACCGGTCTCCTGCGCGACTTCCACCAGAAGTTCATGGAGCAGTACCGCGATGAGTAAGATGGCTTGGGGCGCATGCTTGCTTGGCCGGAGTATTTCCTCCAGGCTGCGCCGGTTTTCCCCTGCCATGTTGGCCGCGGCCGACCACACACCTGCCCGCCCTGCATGTGGGAGGGTCGGGCGATGGTCTTCCACTTTCCCACCTTCCTCTACCATCCTTTCCTGAGCACTGTCTCCCCCTCCCCTGTGTGTGAATATACATGTACGCATACGTGGCAGAAGGGAAGAGACCCCCGGGCGAGTGGCAGGGAGATGGACATGACCCGGCGGCCCTGTTCAAGTCTCGTGGTCAAATGACAGATCGCCGACACGAGGAGGGAGAGGGCGAAATAGAACCACAGGGGGGGGGGCAAGAGAGGGCACGACAGGACGATACGAGGAGGAGAGAGAGAGAGAGAGAGAGGGAGAGAGAGAAGAAAAAAACATCAACATAGGGGGAATGGTGTGCCTGTCTGCCCTGGATCCGTTGGGATCATCTGGGTGAATATCCGGCCAGCAAGTCCAAGAGGACACATCTCCGGGTCTGGCGCCCAGTCAGGCCGGGCACCTGCTGCCACCTACCGATTGCCCTTCCTCCTTCTCGCCCCCCCCCCCCCCCCTTCTCTCGCACATACAAACACACCCTTCCCCTCTGCCATCGCTCTCCCTGCACCCAGTCGAACGATGAACTCCCTTTCGCCGAGTAACAAGCCCTTTTTCCGGGCCCCGGTCCCGCTGGCTGGCGTGTCCGGACTCCCGACCCCCCGGGTGAACCACTTCACCGAGGCCGACTATGGGAATTTCTATGAGCCGGCTGAGGACTCATTCCTTCTGCTCGATGCTCTGGAGGCGGACGCCGGGACCATCAAGCAGCTGCACCCGGCTGTGGCAGCGGAAATCGGGTGCGCGCCCATCTCCCCCGCAGTGGCAGCACCTCCCTCAGCCTCCCGGGCAAAAGTGGCCGCGTCCCAGCCCTCTGCCCATGAACTGACCCTTTTCCCGCCTACCTCCTCCGCCGGGCCAATGCACCAGGCCCGGCTCCGGGGTGGTTACTTCCTTCCTGGCGGCATTGCTGGCGGCCATTCACCAGCGCGAGGGCCCGACTTCTGGGCCCACAGCGGCCGTTTGCCTCCCCGACACGCACTGTGGTACGCCTGGCGCAATGGTGGCGGCTGCCCGTGTCTGAGTCACCCTCCTAACATACACCATCCGAAGCTCTCCTCTGCTTCGACATCAACCCCTTTGCGGTGGAAGCCACCAAGCTGACGGCCCTCAAGAACAATGTACGTCTGACTGCGGCCGTGACACGCCACGACAATGTGCCTGCCTGCCTGCCCGCCTGCTTCCTGGGCTGCTCACCCGAATGAGCCCCTTCCCTGCCATGCTCCACGCCACGAAGAACCATGCCCTCCAGGATGTGGTGCTGGGAGATCTGGTTTTGCCTCTGCGACCCGGCTCGGCCGACCTGCTGGTCTTCAATCCGCCCTACGTGGAGTCGGCGGATCTGCCTGACCAAGTGACCAGCACCGGGGCCGGGGGCGTAACTTCTGGGCAGGGGGTCGATCGGGGGGATGGCGCGGCACCGCCGCCCCTGTGGGCGGCACTTGATGGGGGCCGTGATGGGGGGGCCGGGGTGGCCCGACGGGCCCTCTACGCCGCACACCGGGCCCTCGCGCCGGGCGGCCATTTTTACCTGCTGTTGGCCCAGCCCAACCGGCCGCACGAGTTGGCCGAGCTGGCCTTGGCCTTGTATCCGGACCAGCCGGCCGGGCCGCAACGTGGCTTTCGCGAGGCGGTTTGCATCGCCGAGCGCAAGGCCGGCTGGGAGCGGCTCAGCGTCTGGCGACTCACACGCTGAGTCTACCGAGCCTCACCGGAGCCCAAAAGGGGGGCTCGCAGACAGACAAGCAATACACGGGTGTTTGTGTGTGTGTGTGTGCGCGCGCGCGCGCGCGCGCGCACGCATGCCCACAAATACGACAGGGGATCTTTTTTGGGGATTTATTTCGAGTGGGAATATGCGCTGTGAACTGAGAGGAGGACGGGGGAAAGGGGGGAAACAACATGAGGGAGGGTGTGCACAAGGGGGCCCCCCGGCGCGCAAGGGGAGGAGGGACAGGGGAGAAGGCCTGCTTCCCTCTGGGGCCGGGCGCGCCCCTGTGTGCCGCCCGCATGAGGATGGAGGGAGGGGAGGGGAGGAAAGGTGAGGGGCGTGGCAACCGCCGCCGGTACCGCCCCGTCGCCCACCCGCCCATCAAGGGCCAAGAGGTGGGCAAGCGGGATGGCAGGGTCGGTCCACGCGCGCCGGGAACCGGGGAGTAGGAGGTGGGCGCGCTGCTGCTGCCCTGCGCCACAAATGAAAGGGGATGGGGGGGAGGGGGAACGAGGGGGGGGGGAGGGGGGAGGCAGAGGACAGACGGAGCGAACTAGGCTGCCGACGGCAACTGGCGCGAAGGGATGGGGCGCGGCACCGGGCGCGCGCACAACACACACACACACACACACACACATACACACACACGCGGAGGCGCGCACAGCACGCGCTTAGACGGTGTTACCGAAGACGGCGTTGTGGCGGGCAATCGAGGGGCCGTACTCCTCGTAGGCGGCCTTGGAGTGGCAGACGGTGAAGAACTCCTCGGAGGAGGCAAGCATGGAGCCACCGAACCAGACGGCGTAGCGCTGCATGCGGTGAGAAATGACATTGACGTCGATGGGCTGGACCTTGACGCGGCCCTGGCTCATCTCCTCGGACAGGCGGACACGGGTGTCAACGGTACGACGGATATCACGCTGCAGACGACGGCTGAAGTCCTTGAACATGGTGGAACCACCGGACAGGACGATGTTGCGGTAGAGACCACGGCGGGTATCGATGGGGGAGTTCTGGATGACGGAATCAACCACCTCGGGCAGGGGGACAAGGTAGTCGGAGGAGGCGATCTCCGGGCTGAAGAAGACCTCGGGGCCGAGGAAACGCTCGTAGCCGATGTCCACGGAGTAGGTCTGGCGTAGGGTGGGTGGCCGGTCAGAGAGAGAGAGAGAGAGAGAAAGGAGGGGGAGGGAGGGGGGATGGATGCACACAGGCACACAGCTACACATGTGGAGACGTGTGCGTGTGCAAGGCGCAGGCGGCAGGGGGCACCCGGAAAGGTGTGCACAGAGCAAGGGGGAGGAGGGGCAGGCAGGGCCTCCCCCGCCCCCCCTCTGCGCCGGGGGGGAGCATGGGCGTACCTTCTTGGTGATGGCCTCGGTGAAGGTCTCGGTGGTGAAGAAACGAGCGGGGTCCTGATCGTACTTCAGGAACTCCTTGACAATGTCGGGGCAGACGTAGGAGTACTTCTCCTTGATGCGCTTGGCAATCTCCATCGACTCGTTCGGGGGGATGCCAGTCTCGCGCTCACGCAGGAGCTGCTGCACGAACTGGGTAATCGAGCGACCGGCGATGGGGATGTGCTTGATGGAAGAGCCGATGACGTAGCCCTCGGCAACGGGGATGACGTGGGTGACACCATCGCCAGAGTCAATCACGCAACCGGTGAGCGAGCGCTGGTCGTCGTCCTTGGAGGCCCAGGAGGCGGCAAGGGCAAGGACGGCCTGTGTGTCGAGAGGAGGAGAAGAGGGAGGGAGAGAGCGGGGAGCAGATGGCGGTGGAAGGGCAAAAGAGACAGGCATGTCAGTAAGATGGTGACGGCACAAGCAAGACACTGGCGGCAGGGAGGGACGACAAGGGGGGAGGGGGAGAGAGAGAGAGAGAGAGAGAGGGAGCGCCGGGGCGAGAGAAGAAGGAGGCAATAGCCAAGCAGGGAGGCGGCCTCACGAACCTGGACGGCAATGTACAGACCCGGGACGTTGAAGGACTCGAACATGATCTCGGCAGTGTACTCACGGTTCTCCGGGGCGTTGAGAGGGGGCTCGGTCAGGAGGAAGTGGTGGTCCTCGGGCTCACAGCGCAGGTACTTGAAGATGGCCTGCTCCCAGAAGCGCTCCATGTGGTCCCAGTTGTCGACCTGACCCTTGCGGACGGGGTAAGACAGGGAATAGGAGTTCTGGTTGGCGATGGCCTCATCACCTGCATGGCGGGAACGGGAAGGAGCGAGCGTTAGCAGAGGTGTGGCGGAGGGTCGAGGGGAGAGAGAGAGAGAGAGAGAGATAGACAGGCAGACAGAGAGGCGGAAGGAGAGAGAACGAACCAATGAAGAAGTCCAGGTCCTCAACACCCTTGCGGGCCTTGTTGACCTTGGAGGAGTCCCGGGTGGCAATGACCGAGGGGATGATGTACTGGGGCTCATGGTTACCGGCGAAACCCATCTTGGTGTAGCTGTTCACCGGTGAGCAGGCGAAGGGGAGGAAAATGGCGGTGTGTCAGCAACGCGAAAGAACAAGGTGATGAGGGAGGAGAATGGATTGGGGGAAGCACGTACCCGGTACCGTTGTCGATGATAACAGGAAGGGGGTGGGACATGGTGAAAGGTGGCTGGCACTGTGTGGCACGGGAGGGAAAGACACAGAGGGAGCATCAACAGGGCGGGGGGGGAGGAGGGGGGAGGACAGAAGGTCAGGCGGGGCAAACACACAAGCACACATGCCGAGGGGCATAGCGGCGTCACGAAGGCAGGCAGAGAAGGACGAGGGGGGGGGGGCAGTTCGGAAGACCAGGGGGAGGGGGGGGGCAAAAGGGGGAAGCGGACAAGAGCATTGGGAGAGGGGTGGAGGAAGGGGAAAGAGAAAAGGAACAAGAAGAGGGCGAGGAGGAGGAACAAGAGGGGGCGAAAAGCGGGGCACTTCAAGACCGTTTTGCCAGGGGGGGGGGCACAACAGTGACAGGAAGCAGGCGGCTAGCAAGAAGAAGGGAGAAGGCTGGAAGGGGAGGGCGGCAGGAAGGGCGAGAGAGGGGGGGAGGGGAGTGCTTACATGTCAGGAGACAGAGGAGAGTCAACAGAAGAAGCAAGCCTGTGTGGCAATGCCCAGGAGCGGGCGGGGGGAGGGTGGAGGGAGAAAAATTCCAACGCGCGCCCCTGGCTGTGGAAAGTGGGGGTAGGAATAGGGCGAAGATAATGTGCGGGGGGGGGGTGGGGGGGGGGAGGGGCGACGGGCGCACGGACGCGAGCCAGCGAAAGCCAAAGTGCCCCGGGAACCAGAGCGGACGGCTCCCAGCGCCGCTGGGTCGGCGCATGCCCCACCCTCAGCCCTCCCTCTCTCTCTCGCTCTGTGTGTGTCTTTCTCGCCCTGTCCCTCCCTCTCTCTCTCT